CCTTTTGAGAGTTTTCTGCATCTTCAAGGGAGAAAAAAGACATCCCCCAAGAAGGAAAAGTAACATAAGAGATAGGGAGGAAAATTGAAGAGCTCCTCTCTTTACCTAGTCATTCCCTGTCCTCTCTTCTTATCTGTTGTTTTTCTTAGTCGCTTCAAAAAGCAAAATAAGGGAAAGGCGATTTTTCCTGTCTTCTCCTGTTGCAATGAATAAGGAAAAGAGCATAGGAGATAAGGAAGCGAATTGAAGAGTAAATGGGCGATGGAACGGGCGTTTCTTTTGAGAGTTTTCTGCATCTTCAAGGGAGAAAAAAGGATATCCCCCAAGGAGGAAACGTAACATAAGAGATAGGGAGGAAAATTGAAGAGCTCCTCTCTTTACCTAGTCATTCCCTGTCCTCTCTTCTTATCTGTTGTTCTTCTTAGTCGCTTCAACAAGCAAAATAAGGGAAAGGCGATTTCCTGAAGAGGAAGAAGGGCACCTATCTATCTGTGAATAGCAAGATTGGTTTTTTCTAATTAGGGAGAGACAAGGGAGATATATAAAGCTTTGCGACAAGTTTTGTCACTCCGTCTCCTTGCTTCCTGTCTGTTCTATTCCTTGCAGAGATAAGGGAGAGAGGATAGATAAAGAAGAGTGCCATCTTCTTTGCGCCTTGTTTTGTCTCTCCCTCTCCTTTATTCATCTCTCTTCTATTCTTTTCTTGGCTCTTCCCATTAAAATTGTGTTCCTTTCATCGCTCCTCTCTCCTTCTCTTTCCCTTCTCTTCTGCTGTTCCCCTTTAAATGACAAAAACGCAAGAAAGGAAGAACAAGAGGGGAATGGAGGCCCTGTTCTTTTCACAATGGATGGGGCAAGTGAGCGGGGTTGGCTACTTGCCCGTAGTCCCTCCCCATGCTTCAGCAAATTCTTCCTCTCGCCCTATCGCCTCTGTTCTTTTCCTTGTTCCCAAACGGAAAAAGTGAACGGGTTCCTGAAGACGAGAGAGGGCGCCTGTTTTTCTAATTATAGAGGGAAAAGGGAAAGACAAGGATGATAGATACGGAAGAGTGCCATCCGTCCCCTTGTTTCTTGTCTTTTCTCTTCTTTTCAATACCCTTCCAGAAAATTAACATGGCATCCTTGTTGTCTCTCCTCTCTCACTTCTCTTTCCCTTCTCTCCTTCTGTTTCCGTTTAGCTGATAAACCACAAGAAGGGAACTTGTATGATAAGGGCAGTGGGAGGGTAAGCAGAGGGTGACTCCTTGCGTGTGGACCTTGCCATACTTCATCATATCACTCTTTTCGGCCTATCTCTTCTGCTCTTTTCCTTACCCTTCTCCTTTTCATAGTTCTTCCTGCTTAGTTTTTCTTATTTCGAAAAGAAAAAGGGAAGGGAGAGAAAAGGGAGAGGGGATGGATTAAGAAGAGCGCCATCTTCTTTGCAACTTGTTATGTCTCTCCTTCTCCTTTATTCATCTCTCTTCCATTCTTTTCTTGGCTCTTCCCATTAAAATTGTGTTCCTTTCATCGCTCCTCTCTCCTTCTCTTTCCCTTCTCTTCTGCTGTTCCCCTTTAAATGACAAAAACGCAAGAAAGGAAGAACAAGAGGGGAATGGAGGCCCTTTTCCTGTCTTCTCCTGTTGCAATGACTAAGGAAAAGAGCATAGGAGATAAGGAAGGGAAGAGTAAATGGGCGATGGAACGGGCGTTCCTTTTGAGAGTTTTCTGCATCTTCAAGGGAGAAAAAAGGACCCCCCAAGAAGGAAAAGTAATGCAAAATTGAAGAGCTCCTCTCTTTACCTAGTCATTCCCTGTCCTTTCTTCTTATCTGTTCTTTTTCTTATTCGCTTCAGAAAGCAAAATAAGGGAAAGGCGATTTCCTGAAGAGGAAGAAGGGCACTTATCGATTTGCGAAGAGCAAGATTGGTTTTTTTCTAATTAGGGAGAGACTTGCCCCGCCTGAGCCTCCCTGGCCTGCTTGTTGTGGCCACATTCCGCTACAGTTGCCCCGCCTGAGTCTCCCTGGCCTGCTTATTGTGGCCACATTCCGGTACAGTTGCGCTTCCAGAAAAATGCCATCCTTGTCATCTCTCCTCTCTCACTTCCCTTTCCCTTCTCTCCTTCTGTTTCCTTTCAACTGATACAGCGCAAGAAAGGAACTTGTATGATAAGGCAGTGGAAGGGTAAGCAGAGGGTGACTCCTTGCGCGTGGACCTTGCCATACCCCCTCCTATCGGCCTATCCCTTCTATTCCTTTCCGTCCCCTTCTCCTTCTCATAGTTCTTCCTTTTTGTTTTCTTATTTCGAAAAGAAAGAGGGCAGGGAGAGATAAGGGGGAGAGGATAGATAAAGAAGAGTGCCATCTTCTCTGCGCCTTATTTTGTCTCTCCCTCTCCTTTATTCATCTCTCTTCTATTCTTTTCTTTGCTCTTCCCAGTACAAATGCAATCCTTTTTGTCTCTCCTCTCTCCTTCTCTCTCCCTTCTCTTCTCCTGTTCCCCTTGATGTGACAAAAACACAAGAAAGGAAGAACAAGAGGGGAATGGAGGCCCTGTTCCTTTCTTTTCCTGTTTCAATGGATGGGGAAAGTGAGCGGGGTTGGCTCCTTGTCCGTAGACCCTCCCCATGCTTCAGCAAATCCCTCCTCTCGCCTTATCGCCTCTGTTCTTTCCTTGTTCCCACATGGAAAAAGAAAACGGGTTCCTTTGCATGTTCATTGTTCTTCCTTTTGTTGTTTATTTGAAAAGGAAAAGAGCAAGAGAAGAAAGATGAAAACGAGCACCATCTTCTCTTAGCCTGATTTTGCACCTCCCTCTCCTGTCTTCATTTCTCTTCCATTCTTTTCATTGCTCTTCCCATTAAAATTGCATTCCTTTTGATCTCTCCTCTGATCTGCGAAGAGCAAGAATGGTCTTGTCTTTTGAATTATAGAGGGAAACGGGAGAGGCAAGGAAGGGAGAGATGATAGATAAAGAAGAGTGCCATCCGTCTCCTTGTTTCTTGTCTCTTCTCTTCTTTTCAATCAATACCCTTCCAGAAAATTAAAATGGCCTCCTTGTTGTCTCTCCTCTCTCACTTCTCTTTCCCTTCTGCCGCAGCCAAACAGCGACTTTTTCACGCAGGCTGAAAAAAGAACACGCATACACAGATAGCAAAGAGAAACAAATGAAAATAAGAACAACCAGAAATTCGCAGTTCGTAATGGCGTGCGGCTAGGCCTAGAACCGCTGGGCATGAGATTTGCGTGCCATATGTAGGTGTAAATATGTATTTTTGTATTACGATATTTATATTCGCTCTTTTTAAGCAATAAGAAAAACCCAAAGCTAAATAGACCCTAAAGGCGGCGGGCTCATATATATATATATGTATATATATATATGCTTATGCATTTACTTATGTGTTTTTGCCAACCCATTTAGTCACCAAGCCCCAAAGTCCCAAAACATCCCAAGACCTTTGGGGTCTCGGTCTCAGGGCCTTGTAAGACTCCACCCATTTCTACCAAGAGAGTTTAGGGTTTAGGGTTTAGGGTTTAGGGTTTAGGGTTTAGGGTCCGTGTGGGGTCTAGTCATATACTATGGGGTCGGAATACTAATGGTATCCGCTTATGGCCCCCTATATAGATCTACTACAATCGCCCCGAAACCTAAATCCAATTGTTAAGGCGCCTGCAGTTGTTTCTTCGGCCGGACAACCCCAAGCCCTAAACCCCCAGCCGGAGACGCTCCGGAGGTGGTGATAGCAGCTCCGTCCAGGACCAACTGAGAGGCATTGTGCAGGTGCGAGGGTCATTGTGGTATCCGACCCCATGGGTGTAGGGTTCAGGGTTCAGGGTTTAGGGTTTACGGTCTAGGGTCTAGGGTCTAGGGCCAGGGTTGAGGGTTTAGGGTTCAGGGTTCAGGGTTTAGGGTTTAGGGTTGAGGTTTTAGGGTTTAGGGTTTAGGGTTAGGGCCAAAGTCCACCGCTCTTCTGGGTGCAGAGGTGGCCGGCTCTGCTACGGCCTTCGCAGCGCTGCTGGACACGGGCAGGGTCGTTTCCTGGGGCCCCTGGGCCCTGAATTATAGGGTTCTTTAGGGTTCAGGGCTCTTCAGGGTTTAGGGTTTAGGGTTTAGGGTTTAGGGTTTGGGGTTTAGGGTTTAGGGTTTAGGGTTTGGGGTTTAGGGTTTAGGGGTTTAGGGTGTGGATGAGAAGTACTGTTGAAACACCCATGAAAAGAAATCTGTTGTATGCCAGACCCTGGATTCATTACGACGTGGAACCTTGGTCAGGCCCTAATTTCTTGTTTGGAATATGATTTCTTGTTATATGCGTTCCCATACCCATTCTAATGAACTCGGGGGAAGTACATACCTCACATAGAGCAGGTTGGCATTGTTTAGTTGCGGGAGGGTGTATACATGGTTCCTTGCACATCCTGGTGAGTTCAAGTTCTTTGGTGTCCATGGTGGGATAGGCGCAATCAACACCCGAAGCCCTAAAAGCCTAAATCCTACACCCCATAGACCCTAAGCCCCCAAACCCCTAAGCTAACCTGACAACTTTTACCCTACTTCGCATCTTAGGCTCCAGGGCTCAGGCCCTCACCTATGTCCTCCTCCGTCTCTAGGAGCCCATCAGCTCTTATCCGAAACCGAAGGGCACCCCGACCTCTAAACTCGAAACAAAGTTGCAGGGTTCAAAGTACACAGAGTGTACTAGATCAGTGTTAGGGATCCTTTTTACTTTTTGGGTTAGGGGGCTTTCTTATATATGAACAAAAAGGATCCTTTTTTCTTCCTAGGGGAACAGGGATTAAGTGTAGGGCTTCGGGTTTAGGGGGGTTTCGGTAGGGCTCCGTGTTGTTGCTGCTTTGGTTTTCGAGTTCGGAAAGCGGAACCCCCCTGAGGCCCGGAACAAACCGGATATCCCCTTCCCCGTAACATGGGGATGGGGAGGCGGGGGAGGAGGTTGGGGGCTCTTTCTGGGGATTCACACATCAAGGATTACAATATGCGGTACCTCAAGGACAAGCTATCATGTGCTACTGCACATCGGAACGCTACACTCCCTCAGCCTGGACACCTCACACCAGAAACCCGACATAGTTTAGGGTTCACGGCTTCGGTTTATGGTTTTAGGGTTTAGGGTTTAGGGTCTAGGGTCTAGGGTCTAGGGTTCGGGTTTTTTTAGGTTTACGGTTCAGAATATCCCAGCCCAAAGCAGAAATTAGGCGACGAGCAAGCTGGCGGCGACAGCAGCAAAGTGCAAGAGCAGCTGACAGACGTCAAGGACCGGGTGTACCCTGAACCCCGAACTCATGCACCCTAACCCATGAACCTAACCCTAAACCTTATAAACCCCAACACCTGCTACCTTCTAAATCCAAACTCGAACCTTTTAAGCCCTTAGAGTCGGAGCCCGGTTCCCAAGGAGCTAACATGCACAGATGCCCCTTTCAACAGCATTGCATAGCTTGGGGGCCTGGGCCTCGAGCTCCGATTTCTCCAGCACCTGCAGTTGGACAATGTCCAGCGCAAAGAGCTCGTGGCCAAAAAAGAGGAACAAGCACAGGCGGCCCGCCAAGAGGCCCGCGGTTATGCGGCGAGGAAGCGGGTCCTCGTGGCAGAAGATGCAGCGCGACGAGGAGGAGAGGAGGAGGAGGAGGAAGAGGAGGAGGAGGAGGAGCAGGAGGAGGAGGCGGAGGGGAAGGGCCCCGTCGGGAAAGGAGGAGGAGGAGGGAGGAGGAGGAAGAGGAGGAGGAGGAGGAGGAAGAAGCAGCCACCAGCGAGGAGGTGCCAGAAAGAATCACTTTGAAGGCCAATGCGTTCATGCCACAGACCCAAACCCCCCCCCCCCCCCCAAAAAAAAACAGCTAAATGCGTTGCGAAAAAGAAGCGAGAACATATGCATAAAACCAAAACAAGAATGTGCACATGCATACATGCATATATAGATATATGTATATCGAGAATATGGTTTTGTATAATTATATATATATATATACATATATATATATACAGATACATACGCGTATGCATGTGTGTTTTTGTTTTGGTTTAGGGTTTATGTGTTTTTCTTTTGATCGTTTATTCAGTGTATCTCTGCACACACGCACATGCGCACACCTAGAGTGAGAAGGGGGAGAGGGGTCCTAAACCCGGAGCCCCAAACCCCAAACCCCAAACCCTAAACCCCAAACCCCAAACCCCAAACCCCAAACCCTAAACCCTAAACCCTAAGACTCACAAGGACATCGTGGCCTCTGGCCTGGGTTTCGCCGCGCTCCGCGCCGCTGGCGATGTGGTGGCCTGGGGACGGCCCTTTGGAGATGTTAAAGAAGGGGAGGGTGTAGGGTTTAGTGTTTAGGATTTAGGGTTTGGGGTTTGGGGTTTAGGGTTTAGGGTTTAGGGTTTAGGGTTTTAGGGTTTAGGGTTTAGGGTTTAGGGTTGAGGGTTTAGGGTTTACGGTTTAGGGTTTAGGTTTAGGGTTTCGCCTCTTTGGAGAAGTTAACGGGGGGAGGGGGTAGGGTTTGGGGTTTGGGATTTGGGGTTTGGGGTTTAGGGTTTAGGGCTTCGGGCTGAACCTAAAGATCCTACACCACAAGCCTTGAAACCTTAAACCGCAACCCCGAAAAACCTCTAAAGCTTGAAAACCTAACCCGAAACCATAAACCACAATCTTGAGAGCCCTAACGCCCACTCCCCCTCCCCAACCCCGAAAAAAAACAAATAACATAAAACAATAATTTTAAAATGAAATACGTAATATATCTATATATATATATACATACATACATACATATATATATATATATTTTTTTTTCATACAGAAAGAAAGTAAAAGAACGCAAGGTCAACGGACATCTCGCCTGTCCGTCAGCAGCTAATCGACGCAGCTTGGCTGCAATTGGCCATCGAAGGCGTGAAAGGAAAAGAAGCTCCTGAAGCCTCAAGGGGTTAGGAGGTTTTAGGGCTTAGAGCTTATGCACGTCCGAGACATCTCTTCGCTAATCCGACCGATGAGTGTTCCACAAGCGCATCACATCGGGTTCCTTCGCGGCGTAACAATGGCGGGTTTATGGTTCGTGGGGGGGAAGAGTAACCTGAGGAGTTAGCAAACTTGACTTCCTTTTGCAGTCAATTTACGGGTTTAGTTTCTGGGAAGAAGCCTTACACTTACCTATTGCAGATTCCCCTTGGGGGTTGAAGGTTTAAGCGCTTCAGTGTTTCGTGTTGCACATTCGAGTCCCTGATTCCGTACAGTACTTCTATAGGATCCTTCGTTGAAACCTTTCCGTCCATCTAGGGGCACGAGACAGCATTGGTCAAACACTGCCAAATCGGTGCACAGATAAGACATATATTCTGGAGTATGAAAACCCTGAGCCTGAAACCCTGAGCCCCATACCTAAACCCCATAGGTTGTGATGTTCCCCCTTATACTGCTAGTATAGGGAGGAAAATCCCTACCTAAAGCTAAGGTTCAACAGCTCACGGCCGCGGGGGCCGCCTTTGCCGCCCTCCTGCGCGATGGCCGGGTGCCTTCGCGCAGGTTTAGGGTATGAGCCCAGGACACCCAAAACTCCGCAACCCAAAAAACCGGGTTTAGGGTTTGGGGTTTCGGGTTTCGGGTTTGGGGTTTAGGGCTTACAGTACATCCTGGAAGCCACCTACATCCGAAAGCCCAGGTGGTGTCGTGGGGTGTGAAGGAGTGTGGGGGCGACTCGAGCCGAGTTCAAGCGCAACTGGAGGACATCCAGCAGGTGCAGGCAGGTCATGGAGTTGATGGTTTTTGGGGGTTCAAGGGGTTTGGGGTTTAGGGTTAGGGTTTAGGGTTTAGGGGGGTTTAGGGGGTTTGGGGTTTAGAGTTCAGGGTTTGGGGTTTAGGCGTTGGAGTTCAGGGCTGCGGGTTTTTGGGGTTTAGGGTTCAGGGTTTGGGGGGTTGGGGTTCAGGTGGTGTTCGGGTTTGGTGCGCGGGTGGCCAGGGGGTGAAGGCTTTTGTGGGCATTGTTAACAGGAGTCCGTCGGGCTTAGTTCGCTAGGCAGAGGGCCAGGGTCTATATAGGACTCATATAGGCTCACAAAAGTTGATAGGGTTGCAGGCGTTTTGGACCGGATTTGCAGGGTTTACCGGGTTCTTAGGTCCTCTGATTCTAGATTTCTACTGCGTGGGGTTTATACTGTATCGACCTTATGCACCTAACTCCAAAACCCCCATATAGACCTATAATATAACACCTCTATGGTGTCATTTCCTCGCAGGCCTCCGGGGCTGCGTTTGCGGCACTGCGCCGGGACGGCCGTGTGGCGACACGGATGGCAAGTGCTTTCCTATTTTGCGGCTCGCGGGATTTACCCAGAGACTCCACTACTCCTAAGGAATATTCCTTAAACCATATATCCTTAATTAAGAATATTCCTTAAACCATATATCCTTAATTAAGGAATATTCCTTAAATTTTCTTGAGTTCCTTATATGGTTTAAGGAATATTCCTTAATTAAGGGGTATTGGAGTCTCTGAGTAGGGTCAGGCGTTAAGGGCTTCAGGGGGTTTATGGGTATAAGGCAAAAGGGTTTTGAGGCCCAGAGGGTCCGATGTTAGCATGTAGCAACTTTTGATTCAGAAGAGGATGGATCCGAGTCGAGTCACCCGAAGCCTCCTCAACCTCAAGCCAGTAAACTCCCGCCTTGGCTAAGAAGAGGGTTTAGGGTTTAGGGTTTAAGGTTTAGGGTTTAGGGTTGCCTGCGCCAGGTGACCTGGGGCCTACCCGACTCGGGAGGGGACTCCGAAGCCTTTGCGACCGCGCTGGTCGGATAGCGAAAAGACCGAGCGAGGGCTTATGAGGGCGAGGCGGCTTGGGGGTTGGGAGTGTTGGGGTTCTTGTGGTGAAGGGTATCCCTAAACCCTAAACCCCAAACCCTAAACCCTAAACCCTAAACCCTAAACCCTAAACCCTATAAACCCGAAGCCCTGAACCCTAAACCCTATTCGGCCCACTTTGCTGCCCGAGGCTCGGCCAGAGTGAGCCGCTACGAGCTCCTGATGCCGCTTGGTGTTTAAGGTTTAGGGTTTAGGGCTAGGGTTTAGGGCTTAGGGCTTAGGGTTTAGGGTTTAGGGTTTAGGGTTTAGGGTTTAGGGTTTAGGGTTTAGGGCTCGGGGTTTCGGGTTTAGGGTTTAGGGCTATTCGGAATTTCGTGCGTTCGCAGATTAGGATCTGAAGGATTAAGGCTATACGGCGTTAATGCTTAAGGTCGGGGATGTTGAGATTTTAGGGTTGAGCTTTTTTTGTGTCAGGCTCAGAAAATTTCTTATGCAGTTGCAGCCTATGAGCCATAAGCACTATAAGCCCTGAAAACCTGATAGGCCCTAAAGACCCTATAAACCCTAAACGCGAGACCCTATTCAACCCTGAACCCGATAGACCCAAACACGTCCCACAAAGTACCAAGAACCCCCTATAAACCCTACAAACCCTATAAGCCTCATAACCCTAAACGCTAAACCCTAAACTCTAAACTGTGATAAACCCGAAAAGCCCTATGAGTCCCAAGAGCCGCACTCTCCTCAGGCTTTGGCGGCGTCTTGATGCCGATGGCAGCGGCGAGGTCGGAGCTGCGGTTAAAAGGATTTCTTTGGGAGTCTGCTGTGTCTTTGTTTAGGGTTTAGGGTTTAGGGTTTAGGGCTTAGGGTTTAGGGTTTAGGTTTTAGGGTTTAGGGTTTAGGACTACCCTTCCCCCCAAACCCCCTTGAACCACCAAGCCAAGCGCTTCAGAACAGTACGAAAGCCCCGACACCGGAAACCTCAAGCTAGGGTTTAGGGTTCAGGGTTCAGGGTTTTGGGTTTAGGGTCCAAAATGTGCAAGCCAGCGCGGTCTTGGGTGACAGGACTTGTAGTAGAGGTTTAAGGTTCAGGGGCTTCAGGTTTAGGGTTCAGGGTCTTTTGGGTTTAGGGTTCACTGAGGGTGTACGTGAAGGTTCGTGGTACTTAATAACCAAATTTGAACGAAACGTATAACCCAATTATATCCATCTTAGGGCACTTGAAGGGCTTGTAAGTGGGATATATAAGTACAGCCATACTTGGGTCTTTAAGTACTATGAGCCTCCAAGTAGACCCTGAACCCTAAACCCGAAACCCTGAACCCTAAACCCTGAACCCCAAACCCCAAACTCTAAACCCTAAACCTTAAACCCTAAACCCCAAACCCTATGGGGGTCCCTGAAGTGCCAAGCCAGCTCGAGCGCAGGTGTCGCTGAACGAGTTCGTGAAGCTCATGTACAAGTGCCCTCGAGAAGAGCGTTCCAAGGATGAGGGTTTAGGGTTTAGGGTTTAGGGTTTAGGGTTTAGGGTTTAGGGTTTAGGGTTTAGGGTCTGACAAAGTTGGTGTGGAGCCCTGCTTTCTGAGAGCAGTCGAGAGGTTCTGTTTGCCTCAGTGGGCCGGTATCAATCACTTGAAAACCGAACTACGTTCGCCCTAAACCCTAAACCCTAAACCCTAAACCCTAAACCCTAAACCCTAAACCCTAAACCCTAAACCCTAAACCCTAAACCCTAAACCCTAAACCCTAAACCCTAAAACCCTAAACCCTACACCCTAAAACCCTAAAACCCTACACCCTAAAACCCTAAAACCCTACACCCTAAAACCCTAAAACCCTAATGGTTGCGCGGGCATGGCTGCAAGTATGCATGGGCCGAGAAGGCCCAGGCCGCAGAGTGATGCTGTGACGACTGCATTGCAGCAGACTTGGGGCTTTGGCGAAGGAGAGAAACCCTAAACCCTAAATCGTTGGCAAGCTAGGGGCTTCAGGGGGCTCCAGGGTTCGGAAGTAGGTTTTCTAGTTTCAGGTTCAGCGACCTGATCCCCCCCTCTTCCCCGTACACGTTAAACCCTAAACCCTAAACCCTAAACCCTAAACCCTAAACCCTAAACCCTAAACGTTAGCTTAATTCAGGAGGCAGTCGCCCTGCATGTCCGCAACACCACTTCGGGTCATCTAGGTTGGGTTTCAAAAGCAAATTTAAGGTTCGGGGCTTGTTGGGCTTATTTAGGGCGTTCTAGGATGTAGGTTGTTCGTAGGTTCTGTAGGTCTTAGCCTGAATTTGGGTGTATAGGGCGCATGTGCCAGTCAGCATATATTTTTATACTCATGTTTGTTGGCGTGGTTTAGGGTTAGGGTTTAGGGGCTTCTCAAAAGATGGACTGCCCCACGAACAAGGACCCTAGTCGTCGTATCTTGGCGACAGGGTCCGTATCTTGAGGCGGGTTTGGAACAGCCCCAGCAAGATTTTGTGATGACAGTCTTTGCTGTCACATTGTTCTTTTCATCGATCAGATCATCATCGTTGTTGTCGCACGAGTGTTAGTATCATTGTTATTGCGTCATGTTTGATCTCATTTTGCCTGCCACTATCATGTTTATTCATATTGCCATTCGGGTTTAGGGTTTAGGGTTTAGGGTTTAGGCTTAGGGTTTAGGGTTTAGGGTTTAGGGTTTAGGGTTTAGGGTTTAGGGTTTAGGGTTTAGGGTTTAGGGTTTAGGGTTTAGGGTTTACAAATTAGGGTTGGGGGTTGCTGCTGGCTGGGTACGGAAGGTACGAGCTCGCCATGTGGCCAGACAGCACGGACGAGGACCGCTGAATGCGCCCTCGCTCCGCGTTCTCGACCCCTCTCCACCTGGGTTTATGATTCAGGGTTTAGGGTTTAAGGTTTAGTTTAGGGTTTAGGGTTTAGGGTTCACCCCTCATCGTACCCCTTCCCCAGTTGTGACCGCTAACCCCTACAACCACCAGTGACTACAGCGGAAAAGAGGGAAATCCGAAAGCTCAACCCTCAACCGAGTCTAGGGCTTCTAGGCTTTTCAGGGTGTAGGATTAGGGTTTAGGGTTAGGGTCTAGGGTTTAGAGAAATTGTTGAGGGTGTTTGGGTTTGGGGTTTAAGAGTTTAGGGTATATAGAAAATGTATAGGGTGTCGAGGATTTCGAGCTTTTGGAGTTTAGGGTTGAGGGTTGTGGGCCCAGGCCTCGAAAACATCCCTTAAGGGGCATAAGGACGGACCCTTAGAAGGGACCCTTAAACTTCTTCCAGCAGATACCCCTACTATAAAAATATATACACCTTAAATAGTCCCACTCTACCTACCCAAGTAATTAGCGCCTAGATAACCCGCAAAGAACCCCCAAAGTCCCTTATAAGGGTTCCTCCTTTGGCCCCTTGAATCCCGCAGTTGCCGCTCCGCGTGTGGGGCTTGGGCTTTAGGTTGACGGCTTTAGGCGCCCTGATCTTCCACATCGGTTTAGGGTTTAGGGTTTAGGGTTTAGGGTTTAGGGTTTGGGAATATGCCTTGGGATTTTCCTCCGTAGACTAGCCGTCCTTCATCGGGACTATAGTAGGGGGTACTTGAATCCCTATAAAGACTGTTCGTATAAGGGGGAACATCCCGAAAATGTGACTAGGGGTTTTAGGGTTTCGGAATCAGGGCTTCAGAGTTTAGGGTCTATGGCTTTAGGGATCACTCCCCAAAAAAGAAGGGTTTAGGGCTTAGGGTTTAGGGTTCAGGGTTACCCTACGATGGTTCAGGGAGATATTCCTCATTGAAGCATATGGTCTCCAGCCCTTTTGGTTTCAATGGGGGAATGCAGGGCTCTGAAAAAAGGAAAGGTCTACCTCTCCTTAGAGTTTCGACAACTGTCAAACAACAGCATCTACGTCGCCATGTCTCACTGTCACGTTGGCTGCAGCCTTGGCGAAAGCGCCTTGCAAAACGAAGTTTTGTCTAGTAAGCTGCAGGGACTGGGCATTCGCACGAAACGCACCACCCTACATCCATGCTAAGTCAAATGAGATTTACACCACAATCACTAAAGGCCACCGTTTCAGATTCAGCCGGTCTCTAAGGCTCCATGTACCTTGTGATAAACTTGTGTACCCCTCAAGGGGGGATGATGGTGTGGGGCCATGTGCAACATGAGCCCAAAGTGTACGGTGGTGGGGTGTCCAATTGTGCCGGTTAGGGTTTGGGGCATTCGGACTGGTGGAGCGAAGGTAGCTACCATAGTCTGTGGCGGCGGTTTTCAGCTGGTTAGAGGGCTCCATAAGCCTTCAGACCACCATCACGGGCTTAAGTTGTTCTTGTGTTTTTTTTGTGACGCGTGCGCACGCGCTCCCAGATGTCTAAGCCCTAAGAATCAAAGTCGTAACAATGCATATGATTTTTGTTGAAGGGGTTCAGGGCCTGGAGGGTCTAAGTCATGCATCAGAACTTAGCCCTATCCCTGCAACCATCTTAAGCCCTAAAAGCCTCAACGCCTAATTCTTAAACCCGACTTACACTGCTAACCCCAAACCCTACACCTTCAGCTCGAACTCTAAACCTTTTATCCTCAACCCTAAACCCTAAACCCCCAAAATCCTACACCCCGATTACTGTGCAAGCCCCTTAAGCTCAACCCTAAACCCTAAATCCTACACCCGCCCACCCACCACCTGTCTGAAGGAATTGGCCCGTGTCGTTCGCGTTGTTGATGCTGCAATCGACAGGCCCTCCGGCTAGGGTTTAGGGTTTAGGGTTTAGGGTTTAGAGTTTAGGGTTTTGGGTTCAGGGTTCAGGGTTTAGGGTTTTGGGGTTTCGGGACCTTTGCACTTTCAGGATATAGGGTTTAGGGCTGTCACTAGTCATCATCAGAAGCAGAATGTCTTTCAGAATCATCCTCATCATCCTCATTCTCCTCGGGGGGGGGGGGGGGCAGGGCTAGGGTTTAGAGGGTTTGCAGGCTTTAAATGGGATTTCTGAGTCTTTGACGGCATTTGACTTGACTCACAAGGTGCCACTTTAAAACTCTTTGTAAGTTTGCAAGCCGTCCCTGCGACCAGCAGAGCCAGACGCGGCCACTGTACGAGGTGCAAGGAAGAAGCCGGCTCAGTATCCGTGCAGACAACCGCCGGCTTGAGCAAAACACGCTGCTCATGGATGAGATCCTTCGCCTGAAGTCCCAGCTTGACGAGGAGAAAGCAAGACGCCAGGAGGACAGAAAGCTTGACAAATCCCAGCACGTCATGAGTTTGAAGGTCATGGGCTTTAGTAGGTTGATAGGGTTAAGGGTTGAGCTCGGGTTCTAGGTAGGGCTGTCGTGTAGGAAAGCGCGCGCGGCCCTGGGATGTTCACGCCGGGGCCTTTTGTGCATTTTGGGGGTTAGGTTCCAGGTAGGCTCTACAGGGCTTTTAGAGGGGCTAAATTTGAGTGTGTGTGTGTGTACAAGGTTAGTGTTGGGGGTTGACAGGGTTTATAGGAACCCTACAGCACAAACAATTCCTAAACTCCATGCATTGGTGGGGTTTTGCGGGTTATGGGCTCCCTTGACCCCTAGGATTTAGAAGTGAGAATTCAGAATGCTGCAAACCCCGAAGCCCTTAATATATAGGAGTCCGTGCAAAAGGGGGGGGGTTTGTTTTCTAGATCCGAGTGGTTCGGGTAGGGCCTGGGGATTGAGAAGTTGAGGGTTTAGGGTTTAGGGTTGAGGGTTTAGGGTTTAGGGTTTGGGGTTAGGGTTGAAAGTTTAGGGTTTAGGGTTTTCAGGACCCTGCGCCTGAAATGTCAGTCCTGAGTCCTTGTCAGGTGGCACCACGCCGCAGGCAACTGGTACAAGGCCTTTGGGCTCTTGGTCGCGGCGGAGATGACAAGCATGCATAGTTGAGGGTGAGGGTTGAGGGTCGAGGGTCGAGGGTTGAGGGTTGAGGGTTGAGGGTTGAGGGTTTAGGGTTTAGGGTTTAGGGTTTAGGGTTTAGGGTTTAGGGTGCATAGTTTAGGGTTGCGGATTTAGGTATGTACAGCTAGCCCTGAACCTTACAACGCATTGGAGAGAGAGAGAGAGAGAGACGTCTACATGTACATTGTCCTGCGAGTGTGAGGGTTGTGATCTTAGGAATTTCCACCGTGTAGGCTCATTACCCGTAAGGCAGGGCAAAGGTTCAGAGAAATCCCAGGAACCGCAAGTGAAGCCAAGTACAGGTGTTTAGGGTTTAGGGTTTAGGGTTTAGAGTTTAGATTTCGGACACATGCTTGAGAACCTGTGGCAAGTCTGAGTTGAAAACTGAGTTGCATCATGGTCAGCACACGGAGCGCTTCAGCACCGGACAGTTGACCGCCCCCCTCCCTTTCCCTTTGTCATAGTGGGATAATACACTTTACATTTTTAAGGGTACTTAAACTCAATAAGAATAAAATTTTAAATTTTTATTGCTATCCCAACTATGAACCAGTTCCTGGGGCACCAAGCACTAAACTACATAGCTACATGGTCTAGGAGAATGCCGGCTGCGAATCCGAGATCAAGACCGTGTTTCAAGGAAGACGCCCATTTTCCGTCCCAACCTGGAGGTTTATTGAGGGCTTGAAGATATTTAGCCCTAAGCCCGAAGCCCCAAACCCTAAACCCTAAACCCTAAACCCTAAACCCTAAACCCTAAACCCTAAACCCTAAACCCTAAACCCTAAACCCCCTGCCAGCTGCGGAGGTCTTCCTCTTCATCGACACACAGGGCTCAGGACCATCCCGCACCCTCCTCTTTCAGCGTCCCTTATTGCAGGTGTACTGGGCCCGGCTCTTTAAACGCCGTCAAGCACGGTTAGGGTTTAGGGTTTAGGGTTTAGGGTTTAGGGTTTAGGGTTTAGGGTTTAGGGTTTAGGGTTTAGGGTTTAGGGTTTAGGGTTTAGGGTTTAGGTTAGGGTTTAGGGTTTAGGGTTTAGGGTTTAGGGTTTAGGGTTTAGGGTTTAGGGTTTAGGGTTTAGGGTTTAGGGTTTAGGGTTTAGGGTTTAGGGGATGTTCCCCCTTATACTAGCAATCCTTAAGAGGGATTATGTTTGCGGGGTACTAGAATGCCTGTTAAGGACTGCTAGTGTAGGGGGGGGGGGGGAACATCCCAAGCAGTACCCATGAAGTAGACACGTATGACCCAAAATGCAGGCTGACCTAAACCCTGAACAAACCCTAAACCCTAAACCCTAAACCCTAAACCCTAAACCCGAAACCCTAAACCCTAAACCCGAAGCAAAAAAAATAAATAGCGCCCAAAATGTGTTAAGGCCTCCTTTTGGAGGCTCAAAGTGGGGGGTGGCAAGGCAAAAGGCTGCTCACTTGTGGGTTAGTGCAGAGCAGAGGTCTGCAAATGGATCTTGGGTTGGACCTGAAGCAACTCAGGGCTGTGTTGAGGTTCCCACTAGGGTTTAGGGGTTAGGGTTTAGGGTTTAGGGCTGGAAATCTAGGGGCATGGAAATAAAGAGCGTTTTCCCGTTAGGGCGTGTTCAGCAGCAACGCTGTCCTTAAAAGAGGTGGACGAGTTGACCCAGCAAGAGATGAAGGGAGTAAGACTAGCTAGCTATCGTCAGAAATCATAGAGCAATCAACTTCGTAGTCGCAGCCATGCTACCCAAAGGCTCCAATGTAGTTCCTTTTTGGGTTAGCTATAGGGGATTTTAGTATGCTACCTCAAAAAGGTACTACATAGGAGCCTTTGGGTAAAGTGCATAATGTGAGTTAAGCGAGCTTATCATTTGCCTGAGAATGCTGCGGCATCGGGGGCTTCAAGCTCTCCGGATTTGGAGGAAATAGGGTTCTGTAAACTTAGGCTGTCGGCATATCAAGCCACTTCATTAAGCTTCATGCCCTAAACCCTAAACCCTAAACCCTAAACCCTAAACCCTAAACCCTAAACCCTAAACCCTAAACCAGGGTTTGTAGGCATCTTCGCGCTGTAGGACGATGGTGCTCGCCTGGAGTCAAGCTCCGCAAGTGGGAAGGTTTAGGGTTTAGGGTTTAGGGTTCAGGGTTTAGGGTTTAGGGTTTAGGGTTTGGGGTTTGGGGTTTAGGGTTTAGGGTTTAGGGTTCATACCCTCAAATTCTACCCTCTACAAACTTACCTGAAACCCAAAAGCCAAAACCCTACACTCTAAACTCAAAACCCTAAACTGCAAGCCCGAAACTCTCAGACCTAAAGCCTAACACCCCCCTAAACCCTAAATGCTAAACCCCGCACCCCCAAACAAAGAACAAAACACGAACATCTCGAAGTTGCAGGAACCATCACCTACGAAGACCTGCGGCGCTTTCTGCGAGGCGAAGGGCCACAAACAAGGTTTTCTAGGGTTTAGGGTTTAGGGTTTAGGGTTTAGGGTTTAGGGTTTGTTGAAATGGGATTTGGGGTTCTGGGCTTTTGGGGCTTTGCACCCTTGCACGGCAAGAAGACGCACTACAGCGTCCTGAGAAATCTGCGCTCCCAAACCCTCAAACTTTCACCCGCCCTAAACAAATCCCCAAAGCATCCATCTGCCTGACAACACCTTTCAATCTTCACGTTCTGTACCTTCAACCTAAACGCCCCAAAGAATCTCTTAATCCTGCAAACTACGCCCTACAACCCCAAGCCTGAGCGTCGTAGGCCCTGCAACACAGCAAGAACCACGCACATCCTGCAAGCCCTTCAACCCTTACCCCCTTCCCGCCCCTCCCAACCCAACAGAAAAATGGAACAGGAACTCCGAACAACTGCCTGAACTCCAGCCCCAAAGCCTAAACCCTAAACACTAAACCCTAAACCCTAAGCCCTAAACCCTAAACCCTAAACTCCATACAGTTCCGAAAACCCCACATCGACAGAACCCTGGCAGGCGGCTACCCTGATCTTCATCTCGACACCAAGGTGGGGGGGGGGGGGGGGAGGCGAAGCAGGGCTCTGTTTTCTGCGGTTGAGGCTGTAAGGGGTTTGGGGGTTCATGGTTCAGGGTTGAGGTTGCGGGGTTCGTTTGGGGTTAGACCTTAGAAGCCCTAAACCCGCAACCCCGAAAACCCGGAAAAACAAACCCTGCACGCCCTAAAGCCCTAATCTCTCACTGCTGTCGCCCGGGTCCCTTCCACAATCTCCTTTACCTAAGACCCCCAGCCCCTATACCTATATCCCCTTGGTATTTGTTTTTTGCTTCTATAAAACCCAAGAAGATATGAAAAGAATTGCTTTTTATTGAGGTTCTAAGGGGAGCATGGATACCCCCCTCAGCCAAAAAATCGACGAAACCAAGTCCCAAAGCCCCAAAGCCCTAGACCTTATAAAGCCTCATAAAGCGACAAACCCCAAACCTCAAACCCTAAACCCTAAACTCTAAACCCTAAACTCTAAACCCTAAACCCAAAACCCAAAACCCTAAACCCTAAACCCGAAACCCTGAACCGAAACAACCACTCCTGCTCTGAGCCTCAGGAGCTACCAAACGAGGACGTCTACCGCCTATGGAAGGTGCCAATCTCGGGAGTTCGTACTGCTTTGGGCTTTGGGCTTAGGGCTAAGGGCTTAAGGCTTAGGGCTTAGGGCTTAGGGTTTAGGGTTTAGGGTTTGTCGGGCTTCAGGGGCTTCGGGACGTGTCGGGCACAGGCTTACACTTTGCAGGGTTCTTAGGGTTCTGAGGGTTCTGTGTTTCAGTAGGGTTGCTAGGGCTTGGTGCTTTTGTGCAATCTTTGGGGTTTAGGGAAATGTCGGTTAAGACTTTACCCTAAACCCTAAACCCTAAACCCTAAACCCTAAACCCTAAACCCTAAACCCTAAACCCTAAACCCTAAATTTAAGAGCCTCCGGCTCAAGCCGCCGACCCCGCAGGAGAACAAGTTTAAGGTTTGGGGTTTGGTGATTTTGTTTGCGGTTTCTGTTGTGGGGGGGGCGGGTAGGGGGGTGGGGGGGGGGTGGGGGGGGCGGGGTAGCGGCTGGGGGGGTTGGGCCCAAAGAGGGGTTTTTTTCCAAAAGAGCCCCTATGCCCTGTGCGAAAACGCCTATGGTCCATGAGTGTGGGTGGCCTGTTCCTCCACGGAAAAGCTGGCGGGGTACCCCCCCCCCCCGGGTAAGGAGGGAAAGAGGGAGGTTTTCACCTCCTTTTCCATCCCCTCAACCCAACCTAAACCCTAAACCCTAAACCAAGGCTGGCGGATTCTGGAAAGCCACTAGGACCCGGAGTAGGCCCTTGTAATCCTTTGTTTTACGGTTTAGGGTCCCTTATAGTCCCCTGTAAAAACAGGGCGCCCCTTTTTTGTTTACCTTGGCTGCTCTTGGGTCCAGGAAAGGTTTTGGGTCTGAGGGTAGTGATATGGGCCCTGAATATGTCCCTTGCCCCCTTTAAAGGGTTCTGAAGTAATGCTTCCAATTCCTAGATCCCAACCCAAAGCCCTAAACCCTAAACCCTAAACCCATAAACCCTAAACCCTAAACCCTACACCCGAAACCCTAAACCCTAAACCCTAAACCCTAAACCCTAAACCCTAAACCCTAAACCCTAAACCCTAAACCCTACCCCTTTGATTCGCAGCTGCTTTTCTTCGTCACGTGCGACAGCTCTGCGGTGAGGTCCTGGACCCGAACGCGAGTATGAGGGCCAGGAGCCTCAGCGCTGGGGTTCGGAATCAGCCCACTTGAACAGCATGGCTTTACAAGGTTAAGGGGTTTAGGGTTTGGGGTTTAGGGTTAATTTTTAGGGTTTTGGGTTTTGGGTTTGGGGTTTAGGGTTTAGGGTTTAGCCCTAAACCCTTAAACTCAGATTACATCCTAATAGGGTGGGTTCCCTTTGAGTAGGGACTCCCTGACCGTTGTAAGGTCCCATGCCTATTTCAAGCCAACGACCTTCGGAACCCTAACTGCTACGAATAAGAAGCCCTTCTTCGCATCAGGATTTAGGGCTCCGGGGGCTTTCCCCAAAGGCTTCTGATGATCTTTAACCGTAAACCCTAAACCCTAAACCCTAAACCCTAAACCCTAAACCCTAAACCCTAAACCCTAAACCCTATCAATAACAAGCCCTTCTTCGCATCAGGGTTTAGGGCGACGGGGCTTTGCCTCAAAGGCCCTTTACGCCAGCCGATGTCTCTCGCCGACACCCAGAACCCTTGTTCCGCCCTTCTATGTGCAGTTTGTTGTCCATACTGTACCCCGAGCGCAATACCCTGCCCCCCCCCTCCCCCCCCACAAACCCTAAGGCCCGCAGCCCTAAACCCTGAGCCCCATAGACCCTATAAAGCTTCAACCCTATAAGCCTAGAAACCTTATAAGCCCTATAAACCCTAAAAGCCCCGTAAACCCTAGAAGCCCTATAAAACCCTATAAACCCTACATCAACCCTAAACCCCACAGAGCTTGCTATCCAGATACGAAAGAGCGACTTCCTAGCGCACATGCGAAGGCGCTGCGGTGCAGACTTTGGAAATAGGGGTTTCCGAAAATAGGGTTTAGGGTTTAGGGTTTAGGGTTTAGGGTTTAGGGTTGCCTTTAAGGGGTTCTATTCTATTTGGGGCACCCCCTAGTTTGCAAAATGCCCAAATCAGTCTCGGGACTGTCAGTACAACTTTAGAGTTTTGGCGTGTAGGGTTTAGTGTGTTCGGGGTTTAGGGCTCTAAGTTCCTTTAGGGTTTTTAGAGGGTGTAGGGTTGTTAGGTTTGTTAAAGGTTTTTTTTGTAGCGCTTCGGGATTTAGACCGTTGGGTGGTTTTGAGGTGTGAGCGGCTTGGGCCATTTTCGGTTTTTTGATAGGCCTTTGGGGCTTGTGTTGTGTTAGGGGCTCCAGGCTTTTCGGGTTTTAGTTTAGGGTTTAGGGGTTTAGGGGGTTAGGGGGTTAGGGGGTTAGGGGTTTAGGGGGTTAGGGGTTTAGGGGTTTAGGGTTTAGGGTTTAGGGTTTAGGGCTGTGGGGATGTTGGGGTGCTAGGGTTCTGGGCCTCAGGTTTGGGAGCTTGCTCTCTGGATGTTTCACAGGACTTTGAGGCATCAAACAATTATGTTTATGCTACCCCCTCCCCCCCCCTAACAGCAAACACCCCCCTCTACTTACTTTCCCGTGAAAGAATGACTACTTCTTTTTTTTTTTTTTGGGGGGGGGGGGGGGGGTGCGGGGGGTGCGGGGGGGGGGGGGGGGGCGGGAGGGGGGGGGGCGGCGGGAGGGGGGGCGGCGGGAGGGGGGGGGGCGGCGGGAGGGGGGGGGCGGCGGGAGGGGGGGGCGGCGGGAGGGGGGGGCGGCGGGAGGGGGGGGCGGCGGGAGGGGGGGGTGGGCTAGTCTTCCGGGGATGGGGAGTGTAGTCAACACCTCCTAGTTCTAGATGCCGAAAACCGTCCCCAGCATCACCCCCCCCCACCCTTCGTGTGTAGTTTTGTTTTTTTTTTAGGCTGAGAAGGGCTAACAGGGCTTATATCCTCGAAGCCTGTCTCGGCAGCCTTTGTTTTTGCAACAGCCTTCCTGCCGAGAATTATCTATACCTACATGCACATATATACATATATATATATGTATATATATATATATATGTATACATATATTATATGTATACATATATAAATACATATATATATATATGTATACACATAAACCTTAAACCCCAAACCCTAAAACCCAAGCCCTAACCCCCCCCCCCCCCCCCCCCCCCCCCCCACACACACACACAAGAAAGTTGTTGTATGCATTATGCCGCAAGATGACAGCGCACCCGAGGCCCTGTTTCCCAAGCTGCCCAAAAAGCACCCCCAAATCCCTCAAGCCAGTCCTCAAAAACCCTAAACCCTCCACCCGAAGCCCTAAAACCCAAAACCCACAAAACCCCAAACCCCAAACCCCAAACCCTAAACCCTAAACCCTAAACCCCAAACCCTAAACCCTAAACCCTAAACCCTAAACCCCAAACCCTAAACCCCAAACCCCAAACCCTAAACCCTAAACCCCAAACCCTAAACCCTAAACCCTGAACCCTAAACCCCAAACCCCAAACCCCAAACCCTAAACCCTAAAACCCTAAACCCTAAACCCTAAACCCTAAACCCTAAACTCTGGCGCCATGGCTTCTGAAGTGCCAAGCCTCGTCGAGGGCCTGCCCAACCTCGACTCTGGGATGTGATACGAGGGGTTTAGGGTTTAGGGTTTAGGGCTTAGGGGTTTGGAGTTTAGGGTTTAGGGCTCAGGGTTTAATTAGGGGTTTAGGGTTTAGGGGCTTAGGGTTTAGGATTTATGGCTTGGGTTTTATGATGGGGTTTAGGGTTTCGGTTTCGTGGATGAAGTCTAGTTCTCTTATGCGGATACCCTCAACCCTCAACCCCATGTTTCGTGCATATACCTGAGAAGGTAGTTCATGTATTCGCCCTAAACGACGTTCATAACTGAATACCAAAATCAAACCCCAAAATGGCATCGCACGATGAGAATCTCCATCCTAAACCCTAAACCCTAGACCCTAAACCCTAAACCCTAGACCCTAAACACTAACCTAAACCCAAAAGCCGATGTCGTCCCAAGAGCGGTGCTTTCTGAGAACAACGCTGGCGAGGAGCGGAGTCTTGCCGACACTCCTCCGGCCCGAGCCTCATAAGGCTCCGTCGAAGTGTGTTGGGATCTTGAAGGTTCTTTAGGGTTTAGGGTTTAGGGTTTAGGGTTTAGGGTTTAGGGTTCAGGGTTTAGGGTTTAGGGTTTAGGGTTTAGGGCCATTTTGACTCAGTGCGTCTACTTAGTATCCCCTACAAGCCCATCATACCCATAAACTAACATACTAAGTCGAATTGCTAAGTCAAACAGGCTTCCAAGTGGATGCGGGATCCTGCTGATATTTGGGTCTGGGTTCAGGGTTTATAGGGTGGGGTTTAGGGTTCAGGGTTCAGGGTTCAGGGTTCAGGGTTCAGGGTTTAGGGTTTAGGGTTTAGGGCTCTCACTTTGATATGTGCTTGGTTCGGTCATGCGTCCGATGAACTCCCGGTAGCCCCCCCAAGCCCCCATAGCCTAAACCTCACACGCGGAGACCACCGAAATCCTACTAAACCCTAAACCCTAAACCCTAAACCCTAAACCCTAAACCCTAAACCCTAAACCCTAAACCACACCCCTTAGAGCCCACCAAGGCGCCCCACGACACCTGCCAGTGGATTCTTCACGGTCGGCTTTTGGCAGGAAGCTTTCCAGGCCCACCCTCCCAGCGGTTCAGGGTTTAGGGTTTAGGGTTTAGGGTTTAGGGTTTAGGGTTTTAGGGAGGAGGTGGGGTTTGGGTACGTATAGGGTTGAGTGGGGTTGAGTTGGGAATAGATCTTGAATTTCGATTCGTACATAACCCTATCAACGATAGAAGTCTATCCTAAAGGCCGAAACCCCAAACCCGGATAAGTGCTTCTTAGTTCGACAACATTGGGCATCCCCAACAAGGAGCTCGAGTTCCAGTGTTGTGGGTAGGGTTTAGGGTTTAGGGATGTCCAGCGAAAGTACGTGCCAGGAGATCGCACAGAGCCATGGCACTCGGCGAAGGTGCGAGCAATGTCTTCCCGCCCCCCCGACACCTTCACCCTAAACTCCAAACCCTAACCCCTAAACCATATAGAGTCTACATTCAAACTCTAAACCGTGGAAAGTGTAGCCCTTAATCCTTACTTAGTAGTAGAGTCGGTAACCTTTAACCTTTTTGGGGTAGTATAATCCTCTTATAATCCCATCCCCCAGGTTACTGGACAACTAGGCTTATAATACAAGGCCGCTGCAAACAGCCTCAGAGGGTCCGGGGATGCGCCCCGAAGACCTCCAGCATCTCATCCCCGAAAGGCGCTCCAGCAACCGAACCTCGCGTGTACAGGGTTTAGGGCTTATAGGGTTTAGGGTTTAGGGTTTAGGGTTTAGGGTTTAGGGGGTTTAGGGTTTAGAGTTCAGGGTTTAGGGTTTAGGGGGTTTAGGGTTTAGAGTTCAGGGTCTACAGGGGTTCGGGGCTGTCTGGGGATGACACTGCGAGTCCAATCAAGCTTCACTTGTTTGGCACTCTCTCGCTCGCTCTGGGTCAGGGGGTTTAGGGTTTAGCCGGCAAGGGTTTAGGGTTTAGGGTTTAGGGTTCAGGGTTCAGGGTTTAGGGTTTAGGGTTTAGGGTTTAGGGTTTTAGGGTTTAAGGGTTTGGGGTTCAGGGTTTCTAGGGTGTAGGGTGTAGGGTTTAGGGCCTCAAGCTTAGGGTTGACGGTTGCCGGGGTCTTCAGGTTCAAGGCCCTAAACCCTAAACCCTAAACCCTAAACCCTAATCCCTAAACCCTAAACCCTAAACCCTAAACCCTAAACCTCTACTTGCGCATCGAGATGTCTGCCCGAAAGGTGCGCTCGCTCATCGACGCGGGCGTGACCACCTTCCTCTGCCTGCAAGAGACTGGGGAACTGCGGCGCTTCACGCCGTACATGAGCCTCGACTCCCGTGGCCCTTATATCAAGCCGAAGCCTCAAACCCCGAACCCCGAACTTGAGCCCTAAACCTTAAACCCTAGAACCCCGAAACGCGCATCCTATAAACCCTAAACCCTCAGCAGCAAACACCTAAACCCAACACACTAGACCCTAAAACCCTAATCCCTCAACCCTAAACTCTAAAACCCAAAAGTTTATGTAAACCCTGAACCCTAAATCCTAAACCGTAAACCCTAAACCCTAAACCCTAAACCCTAAACCCTAAACCCTAAACCCTAAACCCTAAACCCTAAGCCCAAGCCCAGGGCTCTCGCCAAGCGGCTCAAAGCTGAGAAGCTCGGGGAAGAAGAGCTCCAGGCGGCGTGGGTTTAGGGTTTAGGGTTTAGGGTTTAGGGTTTAGGGTTTAGGGTTTAGGGTTTAGGGTTTAGGGTTTAGGGCTAGGGTTTAGGCTTCAAGGTTTAGGGCTTAGGGTTGCTTTCAGGGTTTTGGGTTTGGGGTTCAGGCTTTTAGGCTTGTGAGGCTAGTTGGTTTGTCTTGTTGGGGCTTGTTGTGCTGAAATTTAGGGTTTCAGGGTTTGAAGGGTGGCCTGCAGGGTGTGGTTCAGGGTTCAGGGTTTGGGTTTATGGGTTTAGGGGTACCCCCTGGTTCTTAGTAGGGAATGGGCACCTTATCTCACTCTACATTGCCCATCAAGGGCTTCTATAGGGCGGTACCCAATTCCCTCGTTTCCTGCTAAGTAGCAGCAAGTTGAGTTGAGGGTTTTAGGTCTTCGGAGGTCAGTGTTTCGAGTGCATAGGTTCAGGGTTTCAGGTCTCAGGATTTAGAGTTGCAA